GAATGCCCCATAGCTACAGAACGGATCGAGGTACTGTACCTGTACGACTCGCTCTACGTGAGTCCACGCTGGTCTTTTCTTGGCTGTCAAATAGGCATCGGCTTTTTTCATGGACTCGCGTTTCTCTTGGGCTGTGGCTTTGCGACCTATCCATACGAAAACATCTATATCGCCGGTGTCCAGGATAAACACGTCGTTCTCATCAAGTAAAGATTGGTCCAGAGGTCGGGTTCCTACCGGCTGTATTTTCAGAGACCCTGGAATAAATGTATTATTAATTATTAGAATAAATTAATTAATTTCAAAAATATAAATAAATATTTGGATTGTTCTGAATATTGAGAATATACCAGCCAGATAATTACTATAAATAAGAACCCTAAAATTCCCAACTGACAACGTAGTACGACAAAGAGACAATATATGATATCTCCAAAGCTGTTTATAGCAAGACTAGAAAAACTCTTCAGTCTACTAGAATGGACCAGCAAAGGATTGAAAATAGATGGAGAATATCTTAAGATATCTACAATTGGCTAATGACATAGTCCTTAATTGCCAATAGTCCTGAAGAACTACAAGCACAAATTAACGAACTAAATACAGCCAGCAATAAAGTAGATCTCAGAATGAATTTAGCAAACTAAAGTAATGTACAGCGAACCGATGGACAGAAAAGACATTCTAATAAAATAAATACTGGAAATAGTAGAAGAATATATATATATATTTGGGACAATTAATACACATCTCGGGCATCTCTACTACCAGAAATTAACAGAAGAATTAAGTTAGCATGGAGTACTTGTGGAAGAAACTCAATCATATTCAAATCCAGAATGCCACTTAATCTAAAGAAGAAAACATGTGTACTACCAGTCATGACCTATGCGTGCGAAACCTGTGGTGCAACTTTGTTCAAGTTAGCAACCGATCGTTTAGAAGCGATGTAGAAACCAGATCGATACTATGTTCATTGCAAAACTAGTGTCGCTCAAATGCTGCGAAATATGGTATCACTATCACACTCTTGCACACGTGTCTAGACTGTCGCCTCGCCACAAAGCGAGAAATCAGAATATTGCTACGAATCGATGTTGCTACTGAACATAGTGCATCAAGCTATAAATTATTTTGCTATCGCTTTGAAACATGAACAAAGTTGCACCCCTGGATTCTTAAAACTGACAAAAAGAAACTGTAGGTCGCACAACACTCTATGGAACGAAATATACTGAAAATAACCAAGAAAGACCAATAGAATTGGTGGAAATCGATTCAAGGTCGTTACGCCGATACACCGCCGCCGATCCGCTTTTTTTTAGGATAATGTGGATGCCACCTCACAGAATTATACACCATATGCTGTCCTCCTTTCACGCAGTTGAGCAGCTCTGAACTGTTCAAGAACGCGATACTCTCCCTCCATTCAATTGAGTCATAAAGTTCAGAACTGGCTCCGCGCCATATGGAGGCACCAGGCTATCTCGCACAGCTCCTTTCAGAACCGTTCTGAGCAGCCCAGGGCGTAAAGCTCTGGAACTTGAAATTCGCAAATGGAGGACAGCAATACAGAAGCTACAAAGAGCTTTTAATAGCATTGGTTAAATGGGAACTAATTGCGTGACGTCACGTTTGACATCGGGACACAATAGATCTCTAAGGTCGCAGTGATTAGCCACCTCCTACTCACCGTACGGATATCAAACTTACGTTTGACATCCGTGCGGCTTGAACAGCATTTCAAGTGATGTATAATTCTGTGCCTCTGCTCCTAGCAACCTGCATTTCAAATCCACGCATCGCGTATCACCGTTCGTCTAAAAATTTGTACGTGGGTTTAAGTTTGGGTTAGTTTGGGTTTGAGAAGTAAGAATTGTACATTTTTTCTTGCAATTGTACCTATGTACTCCTTGACTATCAAATGTACCCAAAATAGTACAATTGTACCTATTGTAACAACACTGGATGGAAAACATGTTATTTCGTCAACCATCGATACAGGCGGCGAGACAACGGACAACGGAGTGGGGAATGCGCTACGGTGAACGTAGCTGCTTCGGTCGATGGCGTCGACGGTGGTATTGGGCTTCCCACAACAGCTTAAAAATAATACGATATAGAAGAAGCAGGTTTTTTGAAACAGTTGCGGGCATAACGCCTGGCGGTCGAGATAACAGGAGTGGGAATGGAACGCTGCTGCATCCGTCGATTGTCGATGGAGGCTCGCAACGGGTTGGAGAAGCAGTCATTTTAGATACGTTGTTTTTCAACCTGTTACGAGCATAACAGGGTGGCGGTCGAGATAATCGGAGTGGGAAAGGAACGTTGCTGCATCGGTCGATTGTCAATGGAAGTTCGAAACAGGTTGGAGAATAACGCATCAGTTGTTTTAGATATATTGTTTTTCAACCTGTTACGAGCATAACGGGCGGAGGTCGAGATATTATGGCGCTGTATGTTTCAGTACGTTATTAAGTTTCAATATTTAGGTATTTATTTATTCTGAAAAATTTTCAGAATAATATTTTAAGATTTTTTAAAAATGTATACAAGATGTTTTGAAAAATCTGGCCATTGAAATAATGATTAATCACGATCCTACTTAAAGCCCTTAACGTAAAAAGCTGATTTTTGGAAAACGGATTGACTTTAGGGTGTAGAGGTTCGATAAGAAGGGATTTTTCGAAACTCGAATTCTAAGGGGGTGAAACCACCCTCAAATATTCGAATATTTTTTATTTAAAAACCGGTGAGTTTTTTGGAAAAACTCTTAAACACGTATATTTTATTTCGTTGTTTTACATATCTTAAGATTTTTTAAAAATATATACAGGGTGTTTCATAAAATATGACCATTGAGTAATCACGATTCTGCTTAAACTGCTGGACGTTTAAAGCTCTTTTTTGGTAAACGGATTTACTGTGGGGTTGAGATTCGATAAGGAGGGGTTTCTCGAATCTCAAATTCCAAGAGGGTGAAAACGCCCCTCAAATATTACAATAATTGTTATTTAAAAAACGGTTAGTCTTTCGGGAAAACACTTTCTTGGACAAGGATAATTTATTTTGTTTTTTTACATATTTTGAAATTTTTTAAAAAATCATACAGGGTGTTCCAAAAAGTTGAGTAATTGATTAACCACGATTCTGCTTAAACTGCTCGACGTTTAAAGCTTATTTTTGGCAAATGTGAGAAAATTTTATCCAGTTTGTATGTTAATAGAAATTCTTGCTTTGCTTTATCATCACCATTACAAATTATTAATTCGACGCGAACGAAGACGCGGGTACACGCTAGTTTAAGTGTAAAATTAATTCGAACTCTAGTGTGTAGTTGGTTTACTTATGAAGAATATACTACACATTTTTTTATATTGCTATTTTTTGACCGCAAATGGTAAAACTATAAGTAAGAGCTTCTCGCCCGTCGAGAGAGATGCACCCTGTACACTGCTACGCAATTCAGGATCTACGCGGATCGAGGGGCAAGGCGTAGGTAGATCGGAATGTATACGTATAGACGAGTGGGGGAATTTTGGCTTTTTTATATCGCAATTTGTAAACAGCGCTTATTTGTAAACAACGACCATTTTTAGAGGGGTATTTTAGATAACAATCAATATTTAGAAATATTTTGACACCCTGGAAATACTACCACCGAGCATGTCATTGTTGCAACTTGCAACTGCGTTAATACGCCTGGCGGTGACCGCCTCATACTTTTTCAGATATTTAGCAATAAAATAAAGAAACCTGTTATTTTTAAACTGTTTTTTATAAATAACTATAACAGTTTCAACTGTTATCTAAAAATAACAGTTTTGCCCATCACTAATCAGGACGATTATGGTCGGTCCGATTTGGTGAGAATCCGGCCTAAGACATAAATCTATAAGTTAGATCCCACAAATATCCTCCCTGTCCCAACTTGTGACACTCTGTACAATGGACAAGATCTAAGTTATCACACGCTAACACAGAAAAAAAGGTGTGTTAGTGACCTCTAGACTAAAAATAACCACAATAAGCTCGATATTTTTCTAATAAACTCTCTGTTGATGTACCATTGTCAAAATAAGTTTGTATTGTAACAATCACTCCCACATTTTGAAGAAAATTTTCGAAATATTTTGCCAAAAGGAATTCTCGAAATATGTAAAAATATGTTTTGTGTCTTTCCTGTCATATATTTTGCAGTTTCTGTAAGTGTAAAGATTAAAAAATTAATTTTATGCATTTGGTGAGTTAAAATGTATAGTAAATTAAAACTGATGTTTATATATTGCTTTGAATCACTTGAGTTTTTAACAGTAGGAGTCTATTTTAGTACATCTTTCGTCAGATCTTGCACTACATAACTTTTAAAAGCATTATTGACAGATATTTTAAGACAACATATTTTTCAAAATATTCTAATAAGATTGCGATAAATTTTTTATTGGCTATTAATCTTGTACTACTTCGCACTAAAAGAGGTTCTAAAAAGAACAGCGTTCGACTGCAGGGTCTGCTAGTAAAAAAAATTAAGCTTAAAATATCAAAAACACAATTCATTTAAACCAAAAACTCGTAATACAAAATTAAAGTGTCAAAACGAATGACAATGTCAGAAAATAAATAAATAAACATGGCAACTTAAATAATAAATTACAATTTTTAACACCAGCTTTAAAAGATGTAATACATATTTCATATAACTAAAAATCTCTAAATATACGAACAACTTCAGAACAAACTTGTTCTGAAATCAGCAATGACAGGAACTTATACATGCTTTGAACTTAGGTTTCTTTAATCTTTTGAATCAGAAAATTTAAAAATAAGTATGCAAAACATAGATATCGAATTTCTTTTTGGAAAAACTAATTTTGAAATCGACACAACTATATGACTACTATTTCTGAATCATGAACATAATTCTATTTTGTTGAAAGGTATTTTAAAAGCTTTTGTAAATATTTTTATAACGTTAATAGGTAAAAAAATAGTAGTAAATACATTAAATCCAATGTGATATATGATGGCACACGACTATAATAATATAAATATGTTTTAAGAAAATTATTGAAAAATGAAATTCTAAATTCAACCTAGTTTTTTAGTCGGATTGAAGTTGTTCATTAAAGCTTCTTCATCAATTACTCTGATAAACTGTATAAATATTTACATTTTTAGATGTATTTCCAAATAAACTTTGTTTTCATTAGCCATTTTACAACACCTCTTGTTTATTTTAAAACTAAAAATGAATATATAAAATTAGAAAGCCTGTAAATTTGTGACGTAATACCCAGAGGGCCTACTCACTTTTTAAGAGTTGTACTTTTAACATTGATAGAAAAACTTCGTCAAACATGGCTTGTTTTTGTTTTAAAAATCCTACAGAATCTTGAAATTTTCAAAAAAAAAAGAAAATCAGAAATATGTTGAGCAAACTTGACAATCAATATTAACTAGATTTAATGAACATATATGGCTCAAATAAGATATGGTAGACCGGATAAATCTTGCGTTGCTCAACATATTGTTGACAAAGATCATTGTATTGTTACTAATAATTTAAAATTAATTAAACAAGTCTCAAATTAGCGACAATTAGATGCACATGAGAGCGTTAAAATTAATATATTAATGTAAAGATAATATGAACAGAGATAATGGTCCAATTCCTTCCAGTTATCTGTTCCTATTGCTCTAGTCTCGGTAATTAGTTGTTCACGTTCGGTCGATTTTGACTCGCTTGGCTACTTTTGCTATGCTTGGTCAATAGTTTTAATCATCTGCTGATGATGCGATCAAGGTTAGAAAAATGCGCGAAAAAAAAGTCTTACCTGATGCGTCAGAAACGCGATACAAAGACACCGCCTTCTCTTCAGACGTTTCGAATGTGGCATCATCACCTCCGGCGGCTTCCTCGGGTACTTTATCTCGAGAACCACCTCCCAGAGCAGCGAAGAATTCATCAAAATCTGATTGGGGACTGTAATCATCTAGACAAAAAAAATTAAAATCATTTTTGTATATTTTCTTTTTTATAATTTGTCCAGCGTTATAAAACACACACTATCAATATTTAGATGTTCATAAGTTAGATATACTTACGAAAACATCAAAATAAATAAATAGAAAGACAATATGAACATAGATAATGGACCCATTTCATCTAGTTAACTGTCTCTATTGTTCTTGATTGAAATTTAAATACTACTTTTTTTAAGCAAAAATGTGGAAAGTTGACATATAATATGTCATTCTATTCAGAATGTCATTTTCTATCAGATAAAGTAAAACAATATCGGGGGTATCATTTAAAAATCAAAAGTTGTCAAAAATCATTTCCGGTGAAACAGGAAGTGACCGAAACTAGTTGAATATGTCAATCAATCCTGATTAATGTCATATACTAACATACCAAATCTCGTTTTTTTATCTGCAAAAAAATAAATGTTATAGGGTTGAGCCGTAACCACCGTAATAACAAGGCCGAACAGCTGTGACGTAAAAATCTCGTGACGTCACCAACTGGAGGTTCAACTCTGTTTAGCAGCGTTGATAATTACCTGATAAAAGTTCAAATTGTGGATCTTTTTTCACTCACCAGATATATTTCGCAGTTTTAAAATGTCTTTTTCCGAGTTTTTAAAAATATTATAGTATATAAAAATAGTTTTAATGAATACGGAAAAAATCATACCAGTCAATAAATGTTTATCTCTCACTTTTTATCAATCAAATTTAATAAAGGAATATTTTAAGTTCACAATAGTGTATAATATGAGAAAAAAACAATAAAAAATAGATATTTTTTATAGTATATATTATGATATTATTATATATTACAATAAACATTTTCAGACAACACTGATAATGAACAGAATTTACTTATAAAAAACCTTACTAAAGGCAGTCTTGGGTTTCCTAAAGATGAAATTACTAATATAGTTTTATTTGAATATATAATTTTTAATAAAGTTTTGCAAAGCCATGAGGAGTTTCTCAAAATTCACAATAAAAAATATTTTTATCAAAAATATCTTTGGATTACATTAAAAGTAATAACACCATTATTAAAATTTCCGCAATGTACTATTTATAATGCTAAGTTATTGTAAAAATTGTCATAAATTCTATTAGAAATACACGTCTGAAAAACTACTGTTGTTAAAAAATAATGATAGACTTGGAAAAGGAAATAAAAGAAACTTAGACACACTTAGAGCATAAATAAATACAATGATGATGGATAATGTGAGATGGGATATCAATCTGATGTTTTTTAAATTTTATGTTTAATTATTATTTATTAAAAATTCGGTGCAATTAAAGTTTATATCCATTATATACGTATAAAGTGTATCAAATGCAATCAAAGTTCAGGCCTCCAGTTGATGACGTCACGAATAAGCTGTGCGGCCTTGTTATTACGGTGGTTACGGTTGAGTCCCTTTTTAAAAACACCCTATATAAACGCTCAGTTTGTAAATAACACTTTAGTGTTAGATGTAAAGTATTTTAGTTTTATGAAAGTTTTATTATTTCAATTTCCTATTTCATAACTGTATTTTTTTATAACTTTACTGCCACTCACCTACAATAGTTACTCTGGGTTTTCCTCCATGGTCCTGATCTCTAATCTGATTGGCTGCAGCTGTAGCCTTCAGCTTTTCTACCCTTTTAGCCTTAGATCCTACGTAGACGAAAATCTTGCTGCCCTTGTCCAGAATGAAGCAGTCCCCTTTGTTCAATGAGGCAAAGTTAGGATCAACCTACATAAAAAAGGAATTTTCAATGAATATCAAGAAATAGATTAAAACGGTAAATAAAATAGAAGAAAAATAATAAAAGTTAAAAGGTTCTTTTTTTACATACCAAACTCAAAATCTAAAAAATATTCCTCTATCGCGACAATAATTTTAAAAATTGTTAATCTGTGTCTTTCGCTACTCCCGCTCGTTTGAACAAAAAAGAAAATAAAGAAATATTTATGTACAAGAAATATTTGTGGAAGTTTATGTTTAACTAAGTTTAATTTAATTAAGTTTTTTTTAAGTTTCAAAAAATGTTTCGCCTGTGCCTCTTTTCACTCTCTCGTCCTCTATTTTTTATTTTGAAAATTGGCACCCTAGTATTAGGATGTATTTCAGAAAAATAATTTAACTTCTAGAGGGTGACTCAAAAAAGTGAGTGGATCAGGATGATTTTTTTTAAATGGAACACCCTGTATATTATTACATTTTTTGCTTCCTTTCTGATCACTTACAATAATCTTAAGATATTTTTAAATAAGTTTTTATAGTTTCAGAGATATTAATAAATAAATTTTAAAAAATATTTTTTTCTTCTTTTTTTTAAAAAAAATATTAAAAATACAAGAACTGTCCTGAAACCAAAAGTACATTAGGTGTTCACTTTAAATGGTCTGTACTTACTTTGCTATAAATATCGTAATCTTAAATCATACAGGGTGTTCAAAATTCTACGCCAAACTTTCTAAAATATAAAATATTTTTTCTTCGTTATTTTAAATGGAACATCCTGTATATTATTCTTTAGTAGATGGATAATTAAAAAATAAACATTTTTAATTCTCCATTATTACTAAAAAAATAATATACAGGATGTTCCATTTAAAAAAAAAAACGAAGAAAATTTATTTTATATTTTAGAAAGTTTGGTGTAGAATTTTCAACATCCTGTATGATTTAGAATTACGATATTTATAGCAAAGTAAGTACAAACCATCAAACGTAAATAAATAATATAGTTTTGGTTTCAGGATAGTTCTTGCATTTTTAATAATTTTTTTATTAAAGGCTGAAAAATTTATATTTTTTATTTATTTATTATCTAATATCTCTAAAACTATCGAAATATATCCACTCATATCTTAGAATTATGTAAAGTGATCTGAAAGGAAGCCAAAAATGTAATAATATACAGGGTGTTCCATTTCAAAAAAAAATCATATCGATCCACTCACACTTTTTTGAGCCACCCTGTAGAAGTTAAAATATTTTCCTGAAATACATCCTAGTACATACTTTAGGTTAGTACCTAAACAAAATTTCCAAGTTTTATATTCTAGGAGCTACAGATGCTCGACGCACTATTGTCGGACCCTGTATAAACAGAAAGTGTGACCATTGTATCAAGAAATATTTCAGAACTTTTCGAAGTCCGCCTGGATCGTGTTTATATATTTTTAAGGTCCGACAGTCCGACAGGACAGAGCACTTTCACCTGTGCTGTCAATCAGCGCATAAGAAACAACGTTTTTAATCGCATAGTCTGTTTTTAAGCCATTGTAGTCACACGGCAGCACTAAAAATAAGTTTTTATTTTGAAGATTTTCTTCTAGTGTGGCAAAAGATCCATAACTCTCTTCAAGAACTGAACCCGCCACAAAAGTACAGTTATTATTTACTCTATATTACCTTATTTCTCTAAATATTTACCTCTTTAACGCGAATGTTCCTGGATCCCTTGACCTGGAACAGTCTGGTTTCTTGCTGTTGTGGATCTACGTGCCGGAATCCAGAAGATACGCCACCCGCCTCGTAGCGTACTCCAGATTTGAAGTAGGACAAGAAAGCTTGCGATTCGTGATCCTGTTTTTCTCTGTGTTGGACCGGGTCACCTCCCAATTGGTCGTCCAGTTGGACTGATAAGATTGCAGCTGCACCAGCTTCATCCTGATTGGATAATATTACTTATTATTTTATTTGGTATGATAAAACTGGAAGGATACTAAAAAAATTATGTTAGCCTATGCAGGTTGTACAGCTTTGCTACTGAAAAATGAAAGTGTAGAGAATGGAAATTATGATGTTGAAGTAGACAGACGCTAGAAATAGATGTTCAGTTAAGCTTATTAGAACGGAACTTCAAATTTCATTTAATTTTAATATATCGCATATTATAAGAATATTTGGATTTTATTAAGAACTAGTTGAAACCTGGCCACGACATCAGGAAAAAAATACTTTTTATTTTTTTTTAATTAAATGAAAAACAAAAACTCCGGCGACGACAGTTTTTAGAAGAGCCAATTAGCTATCTTTTAGTAAAAAAGCAACTTTTTAGAGCAAGGCTTATTTCAGTAGAGACGACACAGACAAACATTAGCATTTTATATACTACTAGCATGTACCAGCGACTTCGTTCGCGTTGAATTAATCATTTGTAATGGTGATGATAAAGGAAAGCAAGAATTTCCATTAACATACAAACTGAATAAAATTTTCTCACGTTTATGTCAGCATGAGAAAAAACAAGATGGCGATATTATTATATAACTTGGTAATATTGGAGGGGTAGTTTCATCTCGTTGGAATTTGACTTTCGAAAAATCCGTTTGCCAAAAATAAGCTTTTTACGTCAAACAGTTTAAGCAGAATTGTGGTTAAGAAATTACCCAACTTTTTGGAACACCCTGTATGATTTTTTAAAAAATTTCAAAATATGTAAAAAAACAAATAAATTATGCTTGTCCAAGCGTTTTCCCGAAAGACTAACCGTTTTTTAAATAACAAATATTGTAATATTTGAGAGGCGTTTTCACCCTCTTGGAATTTGAGATTCGAGAAACCCCTCCTTATCGAACCTCTACACCCCACAGTCAATCCGTTTGCCAAAAATCAGCTTTAAACGTCAAGCAGTTTAAGCAGAATCGTGATTACTCAATGGTCATATTTTATGAAACACCCTGTATAAATTTTTAAAAAATCTTAAAATATGTAAACAACAAAATAAAATATACGTGTTTAAGAGTTTTCGAAAAACTCACCGGTTTTAAATAAAAATATTTTATTTGAGGGATAGTTTCACCCCCTTAGAATTCATGTTTCGAAAAATCCCTTCTTATCGAACCTCTAACCCTTAAAGTCAATCTGTTTTCCAAAAATCAGCTTTTTACTTTAAGCGCTTTAAGCAGGATCGTGATTAATCAATGACAACATTTTTCTAAACACCCTGTATAAATTTTTAAAAAATCTTAAAATGTGTAAAAAAACAAAATAAAATATACATGTTAAAGCGTTTTTTCGGAATCTTGACCGTTTTTTAAATAAAAAATATTGTAATATTTGAGGGGTGATTTCACCCTCTTGGAACTGGAATTTCGAAAAATCCCTTCTTATCAAACCTCTACACCCTAGAATCAACCTGTATGCCAAAATTGAGCTTCTTACGTTGAGTGGTTTGAGCAGGATCGTGATTAATCAGTATGTCAGTCACTCACAGGATTTTATATATCAGTATAGATTAGTATAGATGTAGATGTAGATGACAGGGCTCTTATTATTACAGAAACAACAAAAATAAAAAATATTGAATACAGTTGGGGGTTGGAACCTTAGGTGTTACAACAGCAAAATAAAACACTAATTCACCACGTTATCGCTACACCAAAACACTTTGCTTTTAAAGGATGATTCACGGTACAGCGTGACGGGCCGGGGCCGTGCGACGGTGAAGGCACGGCCAAACATTGTCAAATGTTATTTATACTTAAGCCCCGTTCTCAGAACATCGACTGTCGCCAGCGACACCTCAAAAGAACCAATGAGATTTGTACAAAATTCAAACAGCTGTCAATTTTAAATTTAGTACAGCTCCCATTGGTTGTTCGAAGTGTCAATCAGTGTCGCTGGCGACACGACGTCATTCTGAGAACGGGGCTTTATGCATTCATGCTAAGCCGAGCTTCGCCGGAACGCGTCCGTGCCCCGTCCGAGAAATGTCGGTGTACATTTTTCCTCGGATCCGCTACGGTCCGGCCCCGTTGCGGCAAACATAAATGAGTCGCCCGGGCTAAATACTTCGTTCGTCTACGGGCCTACAGCAACTGTTTTCTAGCAGTGTTGCCGCACCCAACTTTTAGCGCGTACCACATTATAAACTAAAAATGAACCACTTTGGTACAATTTTTTAAAGCACAACAAAATACATCTGCAAATGACTTTAACCGGTTTGGTCGCTGTGAATTTCTTCATAAATTTCTAAATAAAAAAACTTCCTGGAGAGAGATACAAATCGAGACGAAAAACATGAAATAGAAATTCAGAAAACCCAATTATAAGTATGTATAGGTTGAAGAAATCTAAGTAATTCTAATACTACACACAATACTTGGAAAACTTAAAATTTATTAAAAAAAAACGCAAATATAGAAGCATGTTAGAAACAGTATATTTTCAAGTTTTTTCTTCGGGTTATTTAATATAGGCAACGCTATAGACATTACAACGTTTATAATACGTCGTTAATTAATGCGGATTGTCTCCGAATGGTATCGGTAAGCGCGTTTAATGCAATATCAACGACAATAATTATTAAATATCTATTCATTTTCGGTGCGCGTGGGAAATAATTATTGTACCAAATCATGCTGGACTTGAAAATGTAGTACCACTGTACCAAATAGAATTAAAAGTATCAAAATTTGGTACAAATGTACCACTGCGGCAACACTGTTTTCTAGAATTAAAAGTATCAAATTTGGTACAAATGTACCACTGCGGCAACATTGTTTTCTAGAATATAAACGGCACGGACATGATCCCCGTTGTCCACTCGGTGTAGCATATATTGAAGGCCCGGACCAGGGCCATGTAAGTGAAATATTAAAAATGGTTCCAGCAAAAGTTTCCCAATTATGACGGATGATGGCGCTGATCGTCAAATTTTTGGACCGGGATTTTGCTTACCGACAATACGACGTGAGCTACGACCGGACCAGGACCAATCAGAATGATCAGTCTTTCTTGGACATTTGCCGCGGATGTGTGTGTTAATTTCTGTTGTGATAAGTGTGGTTGTGTTTGCAGTTTGATTTTTCGGTTTTGATATTATGTTAAAATTAATTTTGAAGTATTGTATCACCTGTTTTTATGTAATAGTACTTTTTTTAGTTCTATGATCTGATATGTTATGATTTGTTAATGTTTGTTTAACAATGTTATACCAAGAGGTTATACTTAATATACTTATCAATTTGCATAGCCTAACTTTTTTATCAATAAACTTTGTAAATTTTCAGATTATTTAATTCCTTTTGTTTCCGTTTGTAATTTTATTTTTAAGACATATTATGTGATTGTTTCACATAATATGTTTTAAAAATAAAATTGCAAATAGCGAATAAAAATAATTAAAATAAAAAAGTGTATTTTATAATTCCCCCCGGCCCCGCACCCCTTTGGCCAACCTATAATGTCAGCTATGTCGAGAGATGGCGTTACGAAAATGGAACCGATTTATTACAAGGAACTTGGGCTTCTTTTTCGTTAGTATATTCTGTGGCCCGGACGTGGTTCGGTGTCTACTTTACGGAACGTGCCCGGCTCGGGTACGGCCCGGTGTACCATGAATCAGCCTTAACACTGGACGTTCGTTTCGCTAATCATAAATTTGAAGCTAACCATCAGTTTTTGTCATCTGCTGATGATGCTAAGCTGGTTAACGAAACGCGCGTCCAGTGTTAAAAGTAAAGTGCTTAATGGAAATTAGCGCACTTGTAGGGATTAAGATCTTTTTATGCTTGTATATTTGTGATTATACTAAGTATGTTATATTTTAAAATGTTTTAGTGTATTGAGCTGAATTAGTGCTTTATTTTGCCAAAAAATGTCCACTTAAAAATAATTAAATAAACTAAAAAGTAAAGTAAAGCCAATAATTATACAGATTATACAGCTGAAAGTTTTGATTTTGTTTAGGTTTTGTTCTAGTGGTCGACCATACAACCAACACACGGTATGATATTTTCATAGATTTTTTTTAAATAACAGATTTAAATAGAAAAATGTATTTTCTTACAATGACTGATTATTGTCATGTCTATTCTTGTGTTTCCAAAGCATTCTCTCTGTTCGGTCTGTCAAAACAAAGGAAAATAGAACGGCCCATTAAAAATAATCCTGACATCACTGTAGGTACGTGTACACGAAAATAATTTTAACACCCGTCATAAAACTGTCTTTAAAGGTGCCAATAGAAATAATAAAATTGCTGAAATATGTCGGTTTCAAGTCAGAACCACATCACTAGTTCACTTTGTGAATAATTTAAAAAATATGTACGGAAATAAAATTGTTAAACCTTGTTTGTTCCACATCATATTAACTATAAAGCCTCATAACTATAAAGATTCATAACACAGAAACGCCTTTTGGTTTTTAGCAGGGTAAAAAATAAATCAAAAAATCGATTTTGTTTATTTTTTTCCATAGCAACTGTTAAAATTGCCTTATATCTATCAAAAATGGTAGATAAAATAGTACTTTAACCGATTAGCGAGTTACGTTCTAAAAAAAATATTCAGAAAATATTTTATTCTCTAAACTTTGGAAATTATTATTTCAAGGAATTTATTACGAGTAGAAAAAAAAATATTGTGCTGGGTTGGCGTTGGTTTTCTATGTAATTTGACAAATAAATAAAGCTGTCTCTTTAGTTGTCACTTTTGAGTCAATATTTTTTTTAATTCTCTTTCGTGTCGATTGCTGATTGAATTGGAGCCAGAAATGGCTCAAAACGAAATAAGTAACTTGCCAACAGATATTCAGGCTGAGGCGACAAACGCCATATCCAAACTACTTCCATCTAAATCCCGAATAACTTATGAAAAGGCATACAAAAATTTTCAAAATGAAAGCAATTAAAAAACGTGCGAGAAGAAATAAAGTTTTTAACCTATCCTCGCTGTTAAAGTATCATTTAATCTACCCTTTCGGTTAAAGTACTATTTTATCTACTATTTTTTGATAGATATAAGGCAATTTTAACAGTTGCTATGAAAATAAAATATTATTTTTTTGGTGCGCCTTACTGTATAATAATAAAATTAAGGAATTGAATTTTTAATTGGCTTACCTGAGTGGTTTGTGATCCCAACCAGAAATGAATGTCCCAGAATTTCTCACCTTTTTTATTCACTCTAGTCTAGAAAGAAATACGTATCTATTAGTGATTAGTTTTATACCAAATCATTTCTTTAATATTTCTTACATATGATTAAAATATACTTACATTAAGTACAATGTATGAATCCCCAGAGTAAAATTTACCATATTGATTCTTTGGATAGGGAACAGGTTTGAAATCCTGAAAATAATAATTCTGTAATATATATCTCAGTGTTTAACCTTTTAAGAAGGAATAGATCGATTTACTACACTTTGAAGCTGACATTAAAACAATGGATGAGTCTCCAGAGCATTTTAAAGTCAAGAACCTTTTAAACTATACTTATTTAATTAAACAGTTAAAAATATTCAAAATAATATTAAAATCACCGTTTGAATAATTTAATTTTAATCATCTTTTAGCACAGATGAAATTTAATTGTTATTAAGTGACATTTCTTGAAAGTTAGTTAGATTTTTTTGACACTGATCGTCATGGCTAGTTATGATCTGACCTGTAAATTGTAATTACTCTCTTATAGCTAAAGCTCGTTTTTAATTTACGATCATTCACAATGTCTAAAAAATACAATTAAATTAACAGAATATCCTAGCAATAGCTTGCTGCAGTAGATAGTGATGTGTCGGTATTTTAGTAACGCGATTTTGGAGAGGCATTTTTTTGTAACGTCGCGTCGTGTCGTGTCGCGCTCCACAACGAATTAGGAACCTGTTACTGAAGAACGACGATTATAATAGCGACGAAATTATAAATTATTTATAATTTGCAAATAAATTATTTATAATCCGCTCCTAGAGTCGCGATTTCGTCGGTCGCCAACAGTAGTAACTGGAACCGGTAACTACGTAGCGTCGCATAATATTTTTTGAACAGCCTGGAATATATTTGTAATATATTAAAAAACATAAAATAAATATACAGGGTCCGGCAATAGTGCGTACTTGGATGTATTTCAGGAAAATTATTTAACTTTTATAGGGTGGCTCAAAAAAGTGTGAGTGGATCAGTATTTCGATAGTTTCAGAGATATTAATAAATAAATTAAATTTATTTTTTTCGGCTTTTCTTAAAAAAAATATTAAAAATACAAGAACTGTCCTAAAATCAAAACTATATTAGGTATTTATTTTGTATGGTTTGTACTTACTTTACTATAAATAATGGTAATCGTAAATCGTAAATTATACGGGATGTTCAAAATTCTACGTTAAACTTTCTAAAATATAAAATCATTTTTCTTCATTTTTTTACATGGAAAACCTTGTATATTATTTTCGCAATATATGGAGAATTAAAAAATTAACATTTTTTGTATTTAGAGCATTTCAAAATTTTTGACGGTTTTGCAGATATTCGCGGTTTTATATTTCGTATGGCATTATTCACAGTAAATTTTTATCAAAGTCACCCAATAATTTTTCTTTCGTATTTTACCGTTGAAAGAGCCATATGAAATAAAACTGCTTTTAAATTTTTTAAAACTCTTTATCTAATAAAAAAATAATATACAGGGTGTTGTATTTTACAAGCATTTAAAAGAAAGGAAAAAAAATATTTTATATAACACCCTGTATAACTTATGATTACAACATTTATAGCAAATTAAGTATAGACCATCTAAAGTAAATACTTAATATAGTTTTGATTTCAGGACTATCTTGTATTTGTAATATTTTTTTAATGAAGGTTTGAAAAATAGATATTTTTTATTTATTTATTAATATCTCTGAAACTATCGAAATATATCTATTCATATCTTAGGATTATGTAAAGTGGTCTGAAAGGAAGCCAAAAATGCAATAATATACAGGGTGTTCCATTTAAAAAAATCATCCCGATCCACTCACATTTTTTTGACCCACCCTATAGAAGTTAAAATATTTTCCTGAAATACATCCTCGTACATACTTTAGGTTTGCACTTAAACGAAATTCTCAAGTTTTTTATTCTAGGAACTACAGATGCCCGACACACTATTGCCGGACCCTGTATAAAATAAATAGCTCAGAAAATTCTCAAAGAAAGACTATTATAAATAAATTTATTATAAAACGCACTCTAATACATATTACACAGTAATAGGTGTAATATATATTAGCCATGTATACCTTTGTTTATATTATACAAGGGTATTAGCAAAATTAACCCTCTATTTGAATCTATACAGATTTTTTGTCAATAAGTGTACGCTAATTAGGTAGATACATATACTAAAAATGGTTCTACTAATTACAATATTTAACATTAAACATAGATTAGTAACGATATAATTATGTAGTACCCAGATGCTTTTATTTAATTTCCACTTATTATCATTGTTAACGGTATTTTTAATATCTACCTTTCTATATAAAAGTGCTAAAATCAGAAAATTTACTGACAAAACCATATCTGTATATTCAAAAATAAAATACAGACTAGTTTTAAATTAGCAATAATAAGTATGCTTTTCTTTCTCGCAAATAGGTATTTTAATTTTAAACCGACTTGGTAAATCCAAATGATTTAATTATCCTTACAGGAAGTGATATAAACTCACCGGCAAAAAAAACCGGCTACTAAAAACTAGACCCAATTTCAAAGTTGGATTTCTCGCGAACCACTCATTAGACTTTGATGATTTTTGGTTTGGTTTGGTAAACAGCGTATCTCCAATACAAAAAGAGATAATGTGGTGATTAAAAAAACAAAATACTCACAAAAGTTGAGGCTACAATGTGATTTAGCAATAGCTACTACCGCAGCTGCGCCCTACAGGGTGTTACAAAGTTCGGGCAAAAAACTTCGTCTTATTGTTGGGCCCTGTATATGCTCAAAATATATTCGGAATAGAAAATTCTGACGTAGCATCCGTTAAGAAGGAATTAATTTACAATTTAAAAAAAATCATCAAAATCTAATGAGTGGTTCGCGAGAACCCCAACTTTGAAATTGGGACTAGTTTTTAGTGGCCGGTTTTTTTTGCCGGTGAGTGTACATTATCCTTAGCAGGTCTCAAACTAAGAAAAACCTAAGAAAAACCACAAAAGAATTTTGCAAATAACTTAAAAACGGCTTAGCAAAAGAGTTTCAAAGTTGATAAGTAGCCTGATAGTAGATTATTTTCTTTTATCTATGAGCCTCATCTAATACAGGGTCGCTGTTGTGTATGGAAACGGTCGATTATTAGGTAAAATATAGGAGGTACCGCAAAAAGTTAAATATAAAAGTTATAGGGTTTATAAATATCTATTAGAGGGTAATAAACTTAAATATACAGGGTCGGTCATAAAGTCGTGGCAAATCAAAGTTTCATTTTTTTAAATGGAACCCCCTGTATATTATTGCATATTTCGGTTCTTCCGTCAATTCTAAGTAAAAATTGAAATACACACAATGTACATCAAACCAACCGTTTCCGAGTTATTGACTTTTGAAAATATCACTTAAACAATTTGATTTAATTAATTTCCATATGTTCAGTTTCATTTAACGATGTCATTCTGCCGAAACTGTGATACTTAATAATGTTTGACATTAGTTGTCAAGTTAACATTTATAGATATGTATAAAATGAGAGTATATATCAAGTCTGGAAATCACAAAATTTTCGTTTAACATTTCAATTCGAACAAACACAAAAAGTGTTGACAACGCAACTACAGAGCTATTCAGTGGCTGGAAAAGTTTCATAACTGATCTAGACAACAAAGTGATGAAGAACCTTGAAGATGATCCCGATAATTTTCACGGCGGAGTCAGAGCCTGTATTCAAAGCTACACAAAAAAATATAAATAGTTCATCTTCTCTTTTGAGTGGACTTTACACAGCATTCAAACGTTCTTCTTCATCAAGAAAACAAATGGTCCACACTAGAAGAAAAGGGGTGAAAATTTCTGTGCAGCCAACTAGTGTAGCCCGAAGAAAAACCAAGTTCAGTGGCAAGAGACGGTTCCAGTCTGGAAGAAATACCTGTTAATTTTAAGAAGAATGGGAATCTTGCTCCTCATAGTTTGGCTGAATGTGTAAACCAAAATCGAGCTTTAGGAGCTCGAAAAATCGCGAAGCAGATTTTTGTTGTTTTATATATTTTTTAAATGTTTAATGTGTTCGTTTAATGTTTTCGATTTTTTTACGATTTGATATAATATTTTAAGTTGTGGTTGTTTTTTTATTAAAAGAGAATCCGCCAAGACTTTAGGGACGTTGTCAGTGTTATTTTGTATTTTTTTTAATTAATTTTTTTGGCACAACTTTGATCAGGCTGCCATGAGTTTTGTAATGAAACTCAAGAGCGTATACACTGTATATGCTAGAAAACGCAGAAAAATCCTTTATGATACAAATTCATATAACCATACCAGCTTTTCGGCCCCACCCAAACGATATGCCAATGGTTTTCCGAAAAATGTTCATTTCCAATTTCATCACAACACACACGGCCTGATTGAACTCGAACCACACAAGATAAGTCTTTGATTTGTGAATAATATGTGAAGGATATACACGTAGTAAACAAATTTGAAGTCAATCAGATATGTAGAAGTCAGTCAAAATTATTATATTGTTTACTATATTAGGAAATATTATTTGCGATAACGTGTGCTATTTAGCAGGGGGGCAATTTTTGGAATTGATCGTTTACATGCGAACGCGCAACTTTGCGAGTGTTAGAAAACGAATGCGTTTTAAAAATTCAATTTTTCAGCCATCTTCGCATCTTAATTTGCGATCGTCGTGAGCGTACGCAAAATTACGAGCCGGAACTGTGGCAACGTCGCAAATCACAGTGAAAACTAAATTCTCTCCAGTTTAACCGTATTTTTTACTGTTTATTTACTTTTCATTACTTGGTATCGATAATCGAGGTTTGTTGTGTTGTTGGTCAAGTGGGTTAATAATGGAAAAAAAACGTGGAACTAATGTTAGAGAAAAGCAAAAAGTAACGTTAATATTTGTAAAGAAATTGCAATTGCAATAGGCAATGCAATAAATACCCGTATTGCAAAACCATACTGTTCTCTATTCTGTTGAGTTTTTCAAAATTATTTGTAAATTCAACCCATTGATCGGATATCTCTGGATGGTTTAGACCGTTGGTAACTTCATCAATTGAATGAGAAACCGAGGCTTGGTACATATCGATGTATTTATTTAAAGCAATATCCGGGCTGGTAACAACCACTTCCGTAAAATT